AAGGACAAGGCTTTTGTAATAAAGAAGGCGTGCGTTATACGGCAACAAATGCTTGATTCTACGCAAAAGACCTAGTCTCTGGTTCACTTTAGATATTACATGTTCCACATGTTCGGTCCATGTAAAGTTGGAGAATAATTTTCTTTCACCTAACAGTTATAAACTGTAGATTTTCTTAAGAGAACCTTCGACCGCCTAAGCCGAGGGCCGGAATCTCCGGGGGGAAAAAAGTTGAAAGCAGCAATTTGTGGACAGCTTGCGTCGGCAAAGGAATAGGAGTACTTCTACTATTTGGCCAAAGTTATGAAGATGGTTTTACGCCATGAATGCCTAGTTGTGTTTATACTGCTACACTTGTTCTCATGCCAAAACTAATATAAACGGCTGAAAATAGGGCCCATCCTTTTTAAAAGTTTACCTTTTGTTCTAATCTTTCGAAATATTCACGCTATATTCTTAAAACTTTTTTGCGAATCTAATTTACCGTAATCCAAATATTACTTTTGCATTTTAGAAAAACATTTTCTCAGGAGTCACGAGGAAGAGTTGAAGATCACTGGACCTAGTAGTTCTAAACAAATCGACGTTTCCCTTCTTTGGCTCATACGCCTGTGGTGACCAATATCTAGATAGCTCTCACATCAGTTAAAAAAAAAAAAATTCTGTAAGTGGAAAAATTGTACTCAGAGGTGCAACCTTAAAACACTGCTGACCATAGACACTTTTGTCTATACTATGAAGCATTGCGTCACGGTCCAATTTCTAAAACTTAGGCTAGCACCAAATTTTAGTCCCACTTTTTTGTTTATGACATTTAATGGCCCTTTAGACTCAGTTCACTTGAAAAAAGTACACAAAGAGCTTTACGTCAAACAATTCAAAGAGCAGTTTGAATGGCGTCGGCTGAAATGCGTGGGAGAAAGTTATGATTTAAGTTGAGCTGCGATGACTTAGTTATTTGGGAAAGATGAGACACACAATCTATCAGTGAAATACGCTTCTTCTGAGCTTGTTTTCCTTTTTTACTGCAACTTATTTCCTTAAAACTGCATTTTCCTTAGACAATTCGAGTCGAATTTTTTTATGATATTTCTATCAGGGAAGGGTATTGCATTATAGAATTCCATTTCTG